CAAGTAGGAAAATTGAATCCTACTTTACCAAGTAAGCAACTTCCACATGTGTAATTCTGCAGGATTTTTTCTGAGGGTTGAATTTATGTGTCCTTGTCTTTTCTCTCCCTCTAGAAGGGAGAACTCTATAATTCCTGGGTGTGTTTTTATAATTTCATAAAGCTGTTCTGTGACAGCATTTATTTTATCCAGCATGCTTAATCTTTCTTAAATAGTAGTGTACCCAAACAGCAAGGTGTCAAAAAAAAACCTTTGCAATTGGGAAAAGGAAGATTCAGCACCTGCCATTTTGTGTAGAACAAAGGAGCAAGGGTTATGGATCTGATACATAAATTAGGGCTTTGGCCAATTTAAAGATTGGACAGGAATAGAGTCATCTTGAGCAAGTCTCACCACACCATGCCAAATTTCCTTGCACTACATATCCCACACCAGTACATACAGTGTAATGAACAAAGATTGTAGAACTATCACCGTGTCAAGATTGAAGAGGCCCTTAGAGTGAATAATTAGGAGGAGGTGATTACAGAACAAATAATTCATGGAAAGGAATGGGGAGCCAATTCAGTGAAATAGAAAGAATTTGAAGGTAAGTATGCCCATAAATCCTCTGGGGTGGACTCAGAGTTTAGCACTTTCTCCTACCCTGGTTTTATTCCAAAGCAATTTCATTAAACACTAGAGAGAGGGAGAGAAAAAATAATAATATAAATGCCATAAAAAATCTTTCAGAGGAAGGAATAAAAAGGGTTCCTGCCAGAGAGAGATTTTATTGAAAGTTATTATAATACCTATCTTTAGTTTTATGGCCTTTAATACAGACCAAGTAATTTCAAAGCTGGGATTCTTTAGAAATGAAATACATATTTTAAAATAGTATAGTGTGACTTATTATTTTTAATATAGAATTTAGCTAATATAGGGAAGGGGAAAATATTTTGTCTCTCATGTTCTTTCCAATGAAAACACAAACATCATTTCCATCACAGCATATGGAGAAGTTTCATTACTATCCTTTTGCCTGTACATAAGAATATTTAGCATTTACTATCCCTAGATCACTGGGTAGACACTAAAGCATTAATCCACTACATCCCCTGGTCCAGTGGGTGAGTATAATGAGAACCACTTCAAAAATGGGGAAAAGTGACCAGAAATGGGGCAGGGGTTTTGCTTACTGCCTCACAGTGAGCTGTTTCTGATGTGAAGTGGATAGATTTCCAGGGTCTCTGCTCACTAGCCTCTCCTGTTATGTGGAAGCAGCAAGTTTAATAAACATACAGTGAAAATTCCCAGCTTCAGGGGAGTCTTGAAAGGTACAAATTCCCGTTACAAGAAGTAATGGCCTCCTGGATGTTTTGTCGACCCTGTTCCTGTGGTCAGGAATTTGCTGTTCTTTCTCACTGAAATAGCTTTATTCCTTCGGGATAATTCAGATGTTGGTATCTGAGTGGAAGGTGTATGGAAAACCAATATGTGGTGGGACTAGAAAATCAGTTACTGATGAATTGTGATGGAAAGTACTGAGATTAAAAATACAAGATAGGAAATGGCAACACAGATTAGTGTACTTATCTTTTCTGTGGTTTCTAGAGATCTCATTAATGACCTTGACTTAAATCCAACACCACTTCTGGAGGTTTTTTTCTTTTTCTAACCCTCATTTTTATACAGACAAAATCAGCAGGATGGGATAAAAAGAAAAAAAAAAAAAAAAAAAAAAAAAAAAAAAAAAAAAAAAAAAAAAAAAAAAAAAAAAAAAAAAAAAAAAAAAAAAAAGAGTATCAGGTGAAATAGCATGTAGTAGAGATGGGGAGGAAAAATAGAGATTAATTGATAAAATCATGTGTGGAACCAGTCATGAAAAAATGCAAATAGAGATTGAAGTTGGCAGGGTTGGTGAGTATTGCACATCACATATTTGCATTTTGTCTGAGACTGGCTTACTGTGCCCTTCTCTGTTCAGAACCAACACAAGTTGCAAAACGATTTTATAGCAGGAAATCTAGTACATGTATCAGAGTGCAGCATAAATGTGTTGCATGTACTGCCTTAAGCTGCTTATGAGATGGGAAATTGAACAAGAAGAGGAACAAGGGCCAGGCTTCGTGACTTTTCAGGTTGTGGTACAGGGACTTCCCAAACTAGATCATCTGATCACTTCCAAAATGCTCTAAACTTTTATTATCTACCAGTATTCTGTTGCAAGGAGATGTCCAGTTTAAAAAAAAAAAAAAAAAGGCCTCATTACCTTCCTAGTTTCATGTGATGCCCCTAATATGCAAGAAGAAAAATAGTTATAAAGGAACTCCTTATTCTTTACAAATACTAAATCACATTGTCAGTTCAATTGGATTTGATTCCACATTAATGTTGCATGAAGCCTTTAGATCTGAGCAAGTAAGTGGGTAATCAAATAGGTATAGCAGCTGATAAGTGACAACAACACGTTGTTATAATTTTTATGTTTATTTCCTACTGGAGCAAATCATTGCTGTTTTTCTATGAGAAGTGTGAATTGTCAGATGTTCAACTATGACCAAAATCCACATGATCTACATTTAACCTGGAAATCAAAACCAAATGCCAGGGTTTTCCACTGTATGGGCAAAGTCCTCTAGTAGTGATGGATAGTTTATTCTCTATTTACAGGACTATCCATAATTTATTCTTTATTCACTGTGCCATCCTTACCCTTAGACAACTACAGTATAAATCTCCAGTTTCACTAACTACATTTGCCCTGCTTAAAAATTTCTAGCAGTATAGCCTTGTTTACTAAATTGTGCTAAATTACTTTACATTGGTGCAATTAAAAGCTAATATCTTTTTATCCAGGGACAGCTGCATTTCACTGTTGGAGAATGTGATCACTATATAAGTTATAAAGTTTCTGGGGATAAATAATACATTCTAAAAGGTATGTGACAGAACCAGGAGAATTGAAAAAGCTAAATTTCTATTTTGTATGTTCCTCCTTTCTTGTCCCCTTACTGAGCAGACAAAATTTTAAAGCCAGCTTGTCTTAAGAGAAGTCAGCAGCATTTCAACAGAACTCTTCCACTTTCTATGACTGAAAAAAAAAGGTAAAAAAATGACCTTGAAATGTGAGGCGGGAACATATTACCTTCAGTTCCTTTTAATCTTGACTCCCCATGGAAGCAAGATTGTAAAAGTATTTAATGAAAGTATTTAAGCTTGAAACTACTGCAAGATAGCATTCCACAAAACATTGCCAAATGACCATGCTGAGTATGACTGAGTAACATATAAAATACTTCATGGCTGGATTTTTTACAGATACTCTGTTTTTAATAGAGAAATATTTTTTATTTGCAACTGACCTATCCTGTTTTTCTTTCTTGGCTCAATCTGAGACACTGAATCAAGACTGGAAGATCATTGGGTTCAATCTGATCTTTCTAACTGACTTCTTGGTTCTCTCTTTCTCCCCTTAGCTCAAATACAAACAGAGATGGGGAGGGTAAGCAACTTCTAGCAGGGGTCAGAGGTGCTTCATAATGCTGGGAGCACAGGAGGCTAAAGAAAGGGCAGAGTCCTCAGAACTCTGTTGCAAAGGGAAGAAGGGACATGTAGGAGATAGACATAGCAGATATGAGAATGTAAAGGAGACCTTACTTAAAGCTGGAGAGTCTTTATCAGGAATAAGGATTTGAAAGTCTTGCTGAGATGTGAGATTCCCAGAAATATTCACCTAGAGTACTGAAGTGCAGCTGTCCTGCTCCTGAGTTCAGCAATGCTTCCTGCCTGGTGAGGAGCATTTCAGTTGTTTTGTTTCAGGAGTCATCCCCCTGATCCTACTGCTTGGCAGAATAGGCAGCTCTCTGCAAGGAAGAGCTGTTAAGGGAGACATTTTCATCAGAAGCTGTGGTTGAGCCAGTGCTGCTGAGCTGGGGTAATTTTGTATTGTGCACAGGAACATTACAACCTGTGTCCAGAGGCTGCCACAGGCTCTCCCTAATGGTCTGCATTACTAATTCGACTAATTGCAGCAATTACAGGCAGGAGATGCTGCTGGGAAGAGACACCAGTACACGTCTCTCTAACATGCTGCAGTACATGCTGCTCATTAATTAGAGCAGTACACACATAGAAAGAAAAAATATTAAAAAATGAAAATTAAAAAAAAAGAAGAAAATATCACCAGCTGGAAATGCAAAGGAATATGACAAAACCTGTAATGATTGTGAATGCTTTCAGTTTGGTTTAACCCTTTCAGCATCAGACTTTACATCTGGTCAACCTAGCTGCATCCACAGCCCTATTCACTTGCTAAGCAAGGAGGTGAGCACACTTGACACAGGCAGCAGTTCTTCATCTTGCAACAAGTAAGTGACACAGATATTTACTGTCTGGGTCAGCACCAGATTTCCAGACCAAGAGGTGCATTAACAGCAGGAATTATGTCTGCCTCAGAGTGGTGCATCAGGCACAGCAAAGAGTACTGCTGAGTGCTGTGTATTATCTGGGTCTGTCTTGTATATTTTTCTTTGCAGAAAGCATGTTCAGTCTGAGCATGCCTCACATGGTAAATCTCTCAGGAAGTGCCTTCTGGCTGGCCCTACATGATACTGGTATTTATGGAGGAGCCTAGCCTCCTCCAAGCAGACACATCTACAGTGGCTGTTCAGGGCAGTCTGCCAGCCAAGCAGGCTTTGTAGCCCACTGTACTTCATTCAACATCCCCAGTGTGATCCACTTGCTGCCCTAAACAGCCCAGCAGGTGCACAGCACCTGTGCACACCTGAATATTCAACAGCACAGGATAGGCACTGTTACTAAACAGGAGACTCACACTCAATGGAGGACACATTTACACAGGCATATACAGAGTGCTTGGTACAACTTAAATATTTCAAAAGTTACATTTGTGAAACCTTTTTTTCTTTTTCCCTTGGATATTTAGCTGCCTCTGTAATAGTCTTGACTTGCAAATATCTTACTTTTGTTTCCTTTTGTTCTTTTGCTTCACATGCCAGACAACAGATGACATCGTTTCATCAGCTGAATGTTCCAGTGATGATGAAGATTTCATTGACTGTGAACCCAGTACAGGTAAGTCAGGTCAGTCGTGTTTTGCTTGCTTTCTGATTTCATTTGCAAAAAACAATGCATACATATATTTTATATGTGTGTGAATGTATACATATATAATTATATATGTAAATATGTGTGTGTATATGTGTATATATATGCACTCATGTATATATACACTGTATATAAAATAAGAAACTATACAGCCAAGCATCAGATCCCATGGACTTGGCAACAGCAAAACACTGATATGTAGTCTCTATTTGCTTTATATAAAGTTGTTCGCATGGAAAGGCAAACTTTCTGAAAGTAATTCCAGCTGACTAATATTTCACATATTTCTAGATGTTACTTAACTAACACAGTCGGAAAAAAATATCAATATGGAGTGTGACAAATAATGAAGATTTATGAAGTGGAAAGGATAAACATTTGAAAACAAAAGAGAAAAGTGAAATAAAAATCAGTTATTAGCAATGTTTAATCTTTCTTAATTACTCTGAAGATGGATGTTAAGGGATACATTTGTCCATGGGATTTTGAGTACAGTTAACATGGTAATGTGTTTATACTAATTTTGTTTCCTGTGACCCCAAAGAAATTGGGGACCACCAAAACTAAGTTTTAACATAACAAAATTAGTAGCAATTCTTGCCTTGTTATCTGCAGTGATGCTTCAAAATGTATCCATTAAAGAGTCAGAAGGACTGGCCATATGGAACTGACTCAACTTCTCCCTTTCAGATACATTTTGATAAATTGATGGCTTTTCTTTCTGGTGAGATATATTATGTGGTATCCAGCAGGCAACTGCAGTCTACTTTATTTCTTACAGGCTTTTTCAAGTCTTCTTTTTTGAGGCTTGCCATGAGTTAAGCATTTCTATAATAGAGAACAGACATCATCGAATTTCTGTGTACATTTAAAAGAAAAAGAGGAATTTTGGTTAGAATTTTTGTCTTTAAAAGTCAAACATATAAATACTTTGAGGGGGTTCTTTCATTTGGCTTTGTTTTGTTTGTTTTTGCTTTGTTTTATTTGGGATTATGGGGTTTTTTTCTTTACAAAAAATACCAAGAAAGTAAATGTTCTGTTTCTAATTTCCTGAAGCCATTTGAGTAATAAAATAACAACATAAAAATTCACCCAAGACTAGTGCTTTCACATTTCTTTTCAATTTGCCATGGTGTACCTGCATTTTTAGTAGAACTTGGTCTTGCTGTAACCTGAAATTGGCATTGAATTGTAGCTGGGAACTTCCACCCAAACTCTTGACTTACCCATGATGGCAGTGAAGGCAGTGACACAGACTGTTGGTAACAGGTAGCTCAGCCTACTTCCCATCTTTTTTCACATATTTCCATGAATTTTTCTACTCCCCATCTGGAGGAAAAGCAGTAAAAATATTTCCCAATTGTGAGATATAAACAATGGGGGTACTGAGAGTTTAAATAAAGGTAGTAATGAAATGCCAGCACAGTGATTGTAATGAAAGTGAGGCATGAGATTAATAGGACCATGGACACAAGGACAAAGGTATTGCAACTGATATGCAAATAAATGAACTCACTTCATTAAAGCTTCACTAACATGTGAAGACTTCTTTTTTTTTTAATTTATATTCTGATTGCCATGTATTTCAACTAAAGGACAAAAGGATGTCTGTATCAGATTCCTCCTCTTGTAAATTTTTCTTTCAAAAATCACAATAATTTCAGCAGCTAGCAATTGTAACAGCAATATTTTCAGCTTGTGCTGCCAGTGGAAAAATCAAAGTTTGAGTAGAAATTTGGTAAAACAGCATGTTTAGCATAAAATTTCATAGTGCTGTACAGCAACATTTCCAGACTAAAAATACCTCCTTTCTGACACAGTTAGAAATCTAGTGCTACAAACAGGTACAAACTGGATTTTTAAAAATTACTTGCTTTTGAAAATCCTGATAAGCATTACAGTTGGCAGATATAAGTGACTACAGACATTTGAATATCTGCTCTGTAAAACAATATGATTCACTGAAAATCTGCTGAAGGTTCTCTCCTAAACTACTAGACATTCTCATAAATTTCACCAGTATCTTTCATTGCACCCTACTCCTCCTCTTGCATAGGAAGGTGGACCACATAAACCACTGAAATCTGATTCTTTTCTAGGGAATTACTATGACATTAGAATAAAAGTTAGCTTGATTATATGTAAAAATAATTCTCACAGATGGTCTTTGCTGATGAAATCTGCACTTCCAGATTGAGTTCTCCTGCTCTCAGAGGTGCTGGTGTACAGAATTGCCAGAAGGAGGAGGAATATGCAGGTCCTTTTTGCATAAACTTAACTCATTCCATCATATAAGAAGGAAAAGTAGCAGTTTATGGGGCTTCTCATTTTCTTTGTCTATCTTATTGCCTCCATTCTCAGTGCATCCAGTGTCTGCCATCCAGGCAGTATCAAAGCACTCAGCCCATTCTGCTCTGGAGCACTAAAGCAATAAACTGGCTTATCAAAATCCAGTAGTGCTGGCTTGGCTGAGCAGATATGTTTGCCTTTACACTTCACCAGCCAAGTCAGAACTCTGGCCACACGCCAACAACTGGTATTTAAATATGTATATTGTGGAGTGAAAAGATCCAGATTATCTTGCTTGTATTTTCTAGTGTGTGGCTTCAGATTTTTTTTAAACTTATTGTTGGTTTGTTTGGGGTTTTTTTTGTTTTTTTTTAATTGGACTCATTTGAAATTACTTCATCCTATTCTGTGGACAGGTCACTGCCTTCTGCCTTGCCTGATCCCTTTTACAGCAGACTGAAAATTAAATAACCTAACCCAGCACAGTCTTCTTTTTGTTGCTCTGATAATGTGTAGCTTTTAAAGCTCTTGAGTTTCTGCCAAATTTGGCTTTCCATCACCCTCAGTGCCATGATCTAGTAATGTAAAGGTTACTGAACTCACTACTGCAGCTGTGAGATATGATACACATCACTGTGAACCTGCTGTGCAATAGCCAAGACAAGGGCAGCAGAGAATATTTCTCTGCAGATCAGAAGTTTTCACATTTCATATGGGTCAGAATCAAATCCCAATATCTAGAGATATTACTTAGGTCTCAGTCCTTGGAATCAGAGGCAGTACTCTACATAGAGTCTTTTTGAAGCCTTTGGTTTTGGCGTACTCAGAGGCTGAAAATCATGTCCTCGTTGAGACTAAATATCATGTAAGGACCATTTGCAAGGTCTTATTGCCACTTAACTCTGATATCAGACAGTTGAATCCAAGACCTGAATCTCATGTGCATATAATCTGCATCTGAACACTCACATCTCTTTCAAAAAAGAGAGTGTGAAGGTGATTGCCTAACTTTGCTCTCCAGGATTCTCTAAGCTGGCTTGAAATGCTCACTGTAGCAGGCTGGCTAAGCCTTTGTGCCCCCTTCCAAAAGTTATTCCTTTTGGAATTTTGGTAGAAAAACTTCATTTAATGAACAGGAGCTGTCACTGGACTTGTTCTGACTGAGGTAGCTTACAGATATCACCTGTAGAAAAGTATGTATACAAAAGGATTTATTCTAAGTGGCAGCAATGACAGCTGTGGATCCAAACCCCACCCGTATTTTATGTTATGCAAAAAAAACCCCAAAAGAAACCAAAACATTGCAGGTTCAGGGACAGAAATTGCCCCGTATTCATCTTATTACAGACAAGCCTAGATACCCTTAGATCTCTAGATCTCCCAGAAGGCTTAATCTAAATGATACGGGGGAAAAAAGCATTTTCTTCAAGAGAAGATCCTCTTTTATCTCTATTAAAATGTTGCTTGTCCAGTATGTGGCCAAAAAACATCTTTTTTCTGTGCCAAAACAGATGCTTTTCTCTGGTATGAATACAGGACTGTCTTCTGGCCTGCTCCAAGGAGATCAGAGGCTCAAATATTCAAGTTCCTCAAAACTCAAGCCAAGGTCCTGAGTCTCTGCTTTTAAACACAGCTCTGTGGTGTTTTTTTGGTCACTCATCTGCTCTCAGATAATGTAAGATTTGTAAGGAAAACATCTTTTCTAACAAGGAATTACTAGGAAGCACTGTGAAGAAAGAAAGCATTTATCTCTTTTCAGTGAAATGAGGAACACCCTTACAATCTGATTTTACTGAGACTTCAAAGCCTTGACAATGATCATTATGCTTTCCTGACAGCTGTTGCTGTCTCCTCACACCATTGCCCTCATTCCTGTAAGGATGTCCATTACTGGAGCTCTGGCATCAGGCAGACTGGATGCTGGTGGCCAGGCAGCTGGTTGGGATCATAGCCCAGGCTGCTCCTTGGACTACTCAAAACAGTGAGACCCAAACACTCACCAATTAGCCTGAAGTCCAGAATACAGCTTCTTGAAATGGTCTGTAAGGCTTAATCCTTGTTCCCTAGCTTGACACATGCTGTGTTTCTTCCCTGGTGCACTTGCCAGTTTTCCTTTCCTATCAGCCCTTTAATTTCCAATGTGATTTCCCTTCCCCCCACCCAGGGAAATTTACCCTGTGTTTCCCAAAAGGCTTCATATATGTTAAGGTTATCATTGTCTAATCAGACTGGTAAGCCTTTCTGATGGGGGACTGGACACAGCAGTAGATGTGCCAAAATCTACAGTTCTTTGCATTGGAAATTTTTTATACTTGCACACACGAGGCACATACCCAACAGATATGCCCCCTGTATCTATAATTTACTGGCCTATAGCCATCCACCTGCAGCTTGCCTGGGTCAGAGATTTATTTGCAGAAAACAAGCATAATCTGTCTTCCAAAACAGCTGGCACAGTACAAAAACCAATATGTTGGAAGTGAAGACTTTCCTGAAGAAACTAAAAGAAGTGTTGATTTGGCTGTTGTCCTCATAACTGCATCAGTGTAGCAGCTAGGGAATTTTCATTGTACTCCTAACAGGAACACCCCCCACAATCCAGTGTTCAGTTACCCCCAGTCTTTCCCTCTGACAAGCAGGAATACTTGTCATTTCTCATGTTGTAAGAAACGGCCTTTAGAGTTGTG